AAAAAAAAAACAAAGAAAGAAAGAAACGGCCATGTGCCTGACTGAACTGCTAGAAAAAGCCAGTCCGAGTTTCAAACTGTTAAAACGTAGTTTCAAATGCAATTGAAACTCGGCCTTGACTAAACTGCTAAAACGCAGTTCCAAATGCAATTACAAACTGTAACCCTGACTGTGCCATAGTTTTCTCTTTTTTTTTCTTTTTTTTGATCAAAGCTTGGCTCCATTCTATTGTGGGGAGCAACACATACTAGGAATCGGACCCAACGTCCCTTATACAATAAGCTTGGAAACTTAGGGCCGGGGCCCCCACAGACAACCTGCTGAGACTGGCCAGACATAGCATGGGATATCTCCTATTCTATCTCGTATTACTTACCATCATTACCAGTCCCTCTCAGCTATGAGCTGTCAGCTCTGAAGAATGAGGAACTAGGACTGGAATGATGATCCCATAACTGTTCAGCATATGTTAGTCTGTAATCCATGTCTATCCCTGCCCATTTGAAAGGGCGTGACCATTTCGTTCAAAGTTATCCCTAGCTATCTCCTGAATTGCGAACTGGCGTTTGCCTTTGAACCAATCTGCAGTGATTTCTGTTCTTAGAGAATGCCTTAAACTGGATAACAGAGATGAGAGAGGTGTGCTGAGCTTGAGGAATCTCCTATTCCTCCTTGCTAACCATAAGGACCAGAAGGCTCTTCTTCTAAATACCTGAGTCACTGCGTCTGCCTGTTGGCTTTGGAATGGGGCAGGAGCCCTGCCTGTAAAAACAAAGTCTTGATTCCAAAACTCTGTCACCCCGTACGCTTCCTTCCAGATAGAATTGATAAATTCCCAAAAACCTCTAGCGATGATACATTCCCACCAGAGATGCAGACAATCTTCCAGAGACGGGTGGGAACAGGCATCACAAGCTGCTGAAACATCCATACCTTTCTCTGAGCACCAAAGGGCTGTGGGAACGCACAAGTGAAGATGTAGCTATTGAAGACCCCCAACTTTAGTTTCTAGAGATGAAAGTAGAAGTTGGATAAACAAAGTTACCCAGGAAGAAGATATTGGATTGAGTTTGAGAGATGTTGCCTTATGGTGCCAGCTCATTGTTAAGCCTGCCTCAATAGAAAAAGCATTTGACTGGCGATTATATCCTATTTTCGAGGTATAGTCCTGCAGAGGAACATTGTTAACTTCCTTGCCTGGAACAAAGATTTTCTAACCAATCTTGCTTGGGTCTGTTTTTCAGTTCTTGGGGACAGGTGGTTGGAAGGCTGTAGAGTCGATTTGGAGTATTTACTGAGTGAAACCACTGCTGTTCACTATACCTCTTCGAATTGTTGGAGATGATGTCAGTCCACCTTGCCGAGATAGCCGCAATGACTTCCACCAATGGATTTCCACTTGATGCTGGCCAATTAATTGATGGCTGATCTGTGAAGCGTTCTTCCATGTTCTCTTGTCAGGGTCCCAAATCTGACTAATATGCCATATACCTCGTTGCATCCATTTCCTGCCAAAGTTGCCCTTGCCTTTCGCCACAGAGAACGGAAGACCTGCCTGGTTACGTATGAAGGTGTTATCGAATGGGCATGAGTTCATAATTTCTTCGGAGGTGGAGGGTTCTTCCAAGCGTTGTGGGATCATCTTCCCCCATGCTCTGAGTATCTCCTCCCATGTGCTAGTCGAGGGACGGGCTGTGAAGGGCTTCATTAGTAGGGCATCCCAGACCGCTTCAGGATCTGACAGCTCCCATTGGTGTGCTAAGGAAAATTGAGCCAATAATATCCATGGTTGGTTCTCTTTTGAAGTAAGAGCTCTAACTGACCATTTTGCCAGCAGTGCCATATTCAGGGATTCTAGGTCCAACACCCCCAGACCTCCAGCCTTCTTTTTTTCTGTTATTTTTAGCCAACTTACTTTGGATAAGACTGATTGAACTTCCGAGTCTCCTTTCCGTAGGAAGCGAGTGAGGAGGTGTCTGATGTTACAGGCGGAGTTTGGGGGGAGTGCACAGATAGAGAGTATGTACCATAATTTGGAGGAAATAAAAGCATTTATGACCATTGCTCTACCAAAGATCGACAGGCAGCGTGATTTGGACCAGCTGGCACATGTGTCCCTTATTCTGTTTTCCATTATAGAGCTTTGGATGACCATTGAATCCTTGAAAGAGATTTGGATACCCAAGTATCTCTCTACTGTTGCTCGAGGTTTAACCGTAATGCCCAGATCCAGAGCTAGCGGTTCGCCGTTGGGGGTAAGTGCCACTGATTTTTGCCAACTGACCCTCATTTCGAAGACCAGTTCATACGTGGAGATACATTGTTCTAGGGCTGACAATGATGAGACCGAATTCTCTGAGATAGCAGAAAAGTCGTTTGCCAAAGCTGAAACTTTAATGGAATGGGAGGGGGAAATTTGTAAACCTTCGTAATCCGGATGCTGTCTTACCATGTTTAGGAAAACTTCAAGTTGAATGAAAAACAGCGAAGGGGATAAGGGGCAACCTTGACGTAGGGACCTAGTGACCTCAAATGGAGCTAAAGGGAAACCGTTCACCAAGATCCGACTTGATGAGACTCCATACAAGGTTTTGACGAAAGATCTAAATTTGGGGTCCACTCTGATTCTTTTTAGAAATACTTGGACAAAATCCCTGTTGACCCGATCGTAGGCTTTCTAAAAATCAATTAGGATGACTGCTTTGTTAAGTTTATGTTGATTGATCCAGTCTATTGATTGTGATAGGACTTGTCTGCCCGGTATAAAGTCGGATTGGTCTGGTAATACCAATTTGTGGAGCAAGGGTTTTATTCGGAGTGCTAGGGTTTTAGCTAGGATTTTACCGTGGACGTTAAGTTATGAGATCGGCCTATAATTCGTCACATCGGATCTGTCCCCCTTCTTGTAGAGGAAGGTGATAATCCCCTGAACAGTATTGGGGCCGAGGGGGCTATCTTTGAGAATGTGATTGAAGACTCTAAGGATGTCCGGAGCGAGGAGTGTCCAGAACCAGAAGTAGAATTCCACTGGTAATCCATCAGGGTCTGGACACTTACCTTTTGCCATATTGTTGAGTGCTTTAGTAACTTCCGATAGCGTAATTGGAGATTCAAGTGAAGAGGCTTATTGTTCAGATAAGATCCTAGAGGCAAACTTTCATAAGAAGTTTTCCAGGTGGGGTGGTATAATGGGGGAGTTAGAGGTTTCCCAGTAGTAAGTAGTTGTTGGTAGAATAGTTTAACATATTTACATATGGTGTTTGAGTCCTTGGCTGGTTGGAGGGACTGGTTCTCTGGGTGGTTGAGAATGGTAATCATGTTACTAGTATTGGAGGAGGGGCTAATGGATGAGGTATTGGCATTCAGTTTGTCTAAGTATAATGTTTTATCTATTAACTTACGCTGCTCCCGGAGATTATGATATTGGATTTGCAAGTTTTGTCATTCTTG